CGAAACACCCGACACAGTAGCTACGTTGCTGGATTTACGGAGTCCGCTGGTCTGGCCATGCAGAGCGACCACTATTACGGCCGGAAAGATGAAAGTGAAACGTATCAGGTACTGGTTTTGTTGAAATCGAAGGACGAAAGCGTTGTAGCATTGTAGTTTGCTTAGTGTGATTAATGCAAATTCAAGAATGAAAAAGTATTTGTGGAAACACATTGCGTTAGTTTTTCCAGAAGTTTGCACCAGTCCACAAACGCTTATGTCATTCCACGGATGATGATGTCATTTCACGACTGATGATGTCATTCCACGAACGTCTTTGCCCTTCCACAATATCACGTATTCTGTGACCAAAAATTAGACACCCACTAAATGTATACTCAAATGAAGAATAAAACAAAAATAAATGATATGAATACTGAAATGAAGAATAAAACAAAAATTAATGATATGTATACTGAAATGAAGAATAGAACAATAATAAATGATTTGTATACTAAGGCGTGTGACGCATTCGGCTCCCGCTGGCACTTCCAACAAGTAATCAATACCAAAAGTATTAATCTATATCTGATAGCTGATTGGCTAGCGCAATGAAGCCCATCCTACCTGAGCACTTGCGTGGCGTGGTTACAACCCTAGAAAACAATCTAGGAATTGGCAAGCGAACCCACGGCGCTTAATGAGTTTAGTTACAGTTCGCGCTTTTCGTGTAATTATGTAGCTGATGTAGTTATAGAGGCATTTATGTTATCATTTATTTACAGATGAATGAACAATTACTTTATCTATAGTCAAATACGACTAGCATGTAGCTGCACTGCATTATAGCTACAGTAGCTCGGCTACAAGGGTAGTTAGATACAAATATCATTCTTTCCAGCTACGTATATCGGTTCACAAAATGGTCCATACTCTGGCGTAATCGGCTGAAGTGTGGCCACACGAGAGGGATGCTCGATGACTAAACACACTTTCCATTGAGTCATGCGTATTGATCCATGAAGCTGTCTCCCAAACAATATACACATCCAGGGGGACAGTTGTCTTGCTGCAAATATTTCTGACCCTGATTCGCGATAAGTTCGCGTCTCAGCAAGACGGATTTTGGCGAAACACCCGACACAGTAGCTACGTTGCTGGATTTACGGAGTCCGCTGGTCTGGCCATGCAGAGCGACCACTATTACGGCCGGAAAGATGAAAGTGAAACGTATCAGGTACTGGTTTTGTTGAAATCGAAGGACGAAAGCGTTGTAGCATTGTAGTTTGCTTAGTGTGATTAATGCAAATTCAAGAATGAAAAAGTATTTGTGGAAACACATTGCGTTAGTTTTTCCAGAAGTTTGCACCAGTCCACAAACGCTTATGTCATTCCACGGATGATGATGTCATTTCACGACTGATGATGTCATTCCACGAACGTCTTTGCCCTTCCACATATCACGTATTCTGTGACCAAAAATTAGACACCCACTAAATGTATACTCAAATGAAGAATAAAACAAAAATAAATGATATGAATACCGAAATGAAGAATAAAACAAAAATTAATGATATGTATACTGAAATGAAGAATAGAACAATAATAAATGATTTGTATACTAAGGCGTGTGACGCATTCGGCTCTCGCTGGCACTTCCAACAAGTAATCAATACCAAAAGTATTAATCTATATCTGATAGCTGATTGGCTAGCGCAATGAAGCCCATCCTACCTGAGCACTTGCGTGGCGTGGTTACAACCCTAGAAAACAATCTAGGAATTGGCAAGCGAACCCACGGCGCTTAATGAGTTTAGTTACAGTTCGCGCTTTTCGTGTAATTATGTAGCTGATGTAGTTATAGAGGCATTTATGTTATCATTTATTTACAGATGAATGAACAATTACTTTATCTATAGTCAAATACGACTAGCATGTAGCTGCACTGCATTATAGCTACAGTAGCTCGGCTACAAGGGTAGTTAGATACAAATATCATTCTTTCCAGCTACGTATATCGGTTCACAAAATGGTCCATACTCTGGCGTAATCGGCTGAAGTGTGGCCACACGAGAGGGATGCTCGATGACTAAACACACTTTCCATTGAGTCATGCGTATTGATCCATGAAGCTGTCTCCCAAACAATATACACATCCAGGGGGACAGTTGTCTTGCTGCAAATATTTCTGACCCTGATTCGCGATAAGTTCGCGTCTCAGCAAGACGGATTTTGGCGAAACACCCGACACAGTAGCTACGTTGCTGGATTTACGGAGTCCGCTGGTCTGGCCATGCAGAGCGACCACTATTACGGCCGGAAAGATGAAAGTGAAACGTATCAGGTACTGGTTTTGTTGAAATCGAAGGACGAAAGCGTTGTAGCATTGTAGTTTGCTTAGTGTGATTAATGCAAATTCAAGAATGAAAAAGTATTTGTGGAAACACATTGCGTTAGTTTTTCCAGAAGTTTGCACCAGTCCACAAACGCTTATGTCATTCCACGGATGATGATGTCATTTCACGACTGATGATGTCATTCCACGAACGTCTTTGCCCTTCCACAATATCACGTATTCTGTGACCAAAAATTAGACACCCACTAAATGTATACTCAAATGAAGAATAAAACAAAAATAAATGATATGAATACTGAAATGAAGAATAAAACAAAAATTAATGATATGTATACTGAAATGAAGAATAGAACAATAATAAATGATTTGTATACTAAGGCGTGTGACGCATTCGGCTCTCGCTGGCACTTCCAACAAGTAATCAATACCAAAAGTATTAATCTATATCTGATAGCTGATTGGCTAGCGCAATGAAGCCCATCCTACCTGAGCACTTGCGTGGCGTGGTTACAACCCTAGAAAACAATCTAGGAATTGGCAAGCGAACCCACGGCGCTTAATGAGTTTAGTTACAGTTCGCGCTTTTCGTGTAATTATGTAGCTGATGTAGTTATAGAGGCATTTATGTTATCATTTATTTACAGATGAATGAACAATTACTTTATCTATAGTCAAATACGACTAGCATGTAGCTGCACTGCATTATAAACTTACCATATATAAATCTCATGAATCCTAGCTGTATCCTATAGATATATGCAGCACTTTCTATATTATACGTGCCGAATATGGAAGATGAGGATGTACTACTTATAGTGGCTCAGTACCGTCGTCAATGCTTTTTTTTGGTTACTGAGTGCCCATCTCAGAAGAATGATGGCGTTCGTTCGTAATCATGTGCACGTGATATAGATAAACAAATACTAAATCTACACGTCTTATTGGTCAAAATCAGCACCATGAGAGTAGACTTTCGATTTGTTCTTGTGGTAAACATCATGTTTGGTGGACAAGGATACGGAGGGTACCATGTACCATCAATATCACCCAATACCGGTTCAGCCATTAAAGGTCTGCGGAGTAATCGGGCGCTAGGGGCGTACGGCGAAGCTTCAGGCACAAGTGGCCCGGGGTAAGCTGACCGCTATGACGCTCCGACGACAAGTGGAAATGGTCGGTTCTTCAATAGGGAGAGTCCCCGTTGCTACTTGTCCGCCATTCTGCGCTAAATGAGCCCTCGTTGACGACTCCGGAGCCCATCTCGTGGCCAAGCACGACAGCAGAAGCACGTCATGTAAGGGTTTACGTGACAGTCAAATGAATACACCGCGGCGTGGTTTAGGTGGATGAAGAGGGGGCATGCATCGCACAGTCAGATGAACGTTACACCACAAGATCGCGGGATCACCAATTCCAGTTGCGCTATCGATTACAAGCTGGGTTCATATTTTGCGCCTTTTCCTTGGCGACCTACCAATGTCTAGCGCCGAGTAGTGTGCTTTCTTTATGGCTAGAGACGAGCGCCTCGCAGTTTGTGGAAAGAGCCTGCATGGATCCTGCCTGCACCTGCAGGATTCCATCCCTCCGAGAGGGGTCATTTGTGGACGTGTACTCTGCAGTCCTCTTAGGGACATTCTCGTGGAAAACACGTGGATCTAAGGCATGGATCGCCAAGTGAGGCCGAGTCGCTGGGGGTTTGCCTTCTCTATCCTCGCCACACCTCGATGTTGGGACTTATCTTGACGAAGCTGGTGCCCTAACGCTTCGACAGCATCCGCCGTTCAAGCAAGCGTTCCAGTGGCGGGTCACCGCACCTCCCTAGGCGTGATTGAAGGGAGCCCGTTACGACAGCGCTCTTCAGCCTGGCGCAGGCCAGCACTGGGATTGAATGGAAATGTAACAGGGACATACCATCGGTAGAGGTAGAGCCTGACGAATTCTGCCATTTATCCCCAATCTAAGGACACTGGACTCATATTTGAAGAACATCCAAGTATCGACGGGTTTCCTTAAGCCGTGACTCGGACGGCTTCAAACGTGGTTCTACCGCAACTGACTGGCGTATGTCCATTGCAAACAGAACTTGGTCAAACCTTGATGGCGACCACTCACGGTCTTGCAACCAAGGTAGTAGCTACTAGCTGGCAGCATTGCCATTGGCTCGATCGCACCTTCCGCTCCGCACGGCGATGTATACTCTCGCTTGGCGGTTCAATACACGTCCTCTGCTAAAAATAAGCATCAACATTGACCACTCCTGCGCCGTGAAAAGGGAGATGAAGGCTCAGAAAAGGCGGCGTTACATGGAAATGAGCTGAAAGAGAATATGTACGTCATGGACCAACACGGAGGCAATCATACTGGCAGCGAGGACGAGTTTAGCTATGATCCACTCCTCGGTGGAGACAGCCTCATCAAGCAGGTTCATGACGACTATCAGGAGCGCTTAGCCCAGCGGAATGTTGATGCCTGAGAGCTGTTCAGACAGCCTGTTTGTGAATAAACTAGCATGTGCCGCATTCATAACCAAAGCGTTAAGATAGAAGATGAACAGAGAACATAGATAGCGAGCAATCAAATAAACGTCAATAAGGCTTGGAAATGCAACTACAGTAATCTCAAGCTGAAATGCAGTGAATAAGTGGAAACTCAATGTGCGATAGACTCATGCACTGTTCAGTATCTCTTGTCTGATGGAAAGATACTGCTGGTACGTAAGCTTGTGGATTGAGCTGCGGTAGCGTGTGACGCGGACAGTTTTCAGCATCGCTTCGGTGATACTATGGCGATATCCTGCTTTTCTCATAAGTGACGTGACTGTCTCAACATGAGTCCAGCCTTGTTCACGAGCAACTTGCGGCAAGTACGTGGCGTTGTACTCGTTTCCACGCAAGTCACTGAACTTGATGATGATCCCGTGCGCGCCAATCTGTTGCAGCAAAACGAGTAGCAACCGGTGAACAGACGAAAGAGGATTACAGTCGCTGGATGTGAGGCTTACTAAACATCAAGATGTGCTCACCTCCCAGTCGTCATAGCTCTCAACGTCCTGAAAGTCGACGAGGAGCGATACAGTGCAGTGTAGACGTTGCAGCTCCTGCGGCCCGATGGGGGCAAAACGGCTGTCACGCAGCGCGCTCTTGAGGGTGAAATCGCGCAGGTTACGCAGACTCGTGGGTGCTAGCGTTCCAATGCAGCCGCGCAAGCGAGTCCCACCGTGCTCCTCGATCTCCCACGTCACGAATAACGGACTGTCAAATGTCAGTGAAAAGATTAATGCAAGCGAATCATAAGAGACCGGGCAGAGACGGAAACGGTAAAACGAGACGCATACCATTCCTGCTCCACGTTAAAGCAAGGCGTGGGCTCTATGTTGCCATTGAAGCGTGACTGGAGCACGTCAAAGCAGTATACGACCATCGCAGCAATAGCCATTTTTTTCTGGCTTGCTTTGGATTTTTGGGTCTGAGTATCTGACAAACGCCCTTCAGGGTCACGGGCGGTAGTAAACTCGTTGGAGGACAAGAAATAGAGCGTCATGTGTGCTGTGTCATCTTTGCTAAAGGAGAGAAATATCTTGGTACAGAGATCAATAGGCATCTGCTATCAGACTTCCTTATAATGTCGATTGTATCTTCAGCACTTCGAGATACCTGACTTAGAAAACATCCTGCATACAGAATGGGCAATGTACTTTTATATCGAAAGCTGCAGAGCATATTGAGATACAGTAAGTAGGAGCTGCGTCGACTTCAAATTTGCTGACTTTAATGAGCTGACCAGAGACTCCATTCACATTGACGTATTTGTCTTACGTAGATGCGTATGACAATTCCGAGAGTAGGTGGCGAAGTCTGCAAATTTATTTGTCACAAGTCGACATGTTCCTTAGATTATCAAATGGATATGGAAGAATGAAAGGTTGAGAAAGAAAACGAAAGGAGCGCAGCAAACACCATGATTTATCTCACCTTTGCAATACGATTCAAAAGTACACATGGTGCGCCGCTTTGACGAACTGCGATGCGACTGAAGGCCGACGGTGATCTACGATCGATCACAATGCTCTTGCGCTCTGTTATATTCATAGAACTTCGCTGCGCACTTTTGCGGTAACATTCGGTCGATCATTTCCAAGCACCCTGATTTGTCTTGGAAATTGTCCGCATTGATTTAAAGCCCAGAGAACTTGTGCGTTTGCTAATTAGCGGAGTCTCATTTGTGCTGGTATCATTGCTTGATGTGTTGCTAGGCGTCAAACGTGATCCTGCTGACCTGCGAGCAACCGTGTGCGTTTTTGTGACGCAACTAGCACCAGGCACGTGTGCGCATACGCTATCGGTATCATGCTGGGTACCGGAAGAGCTTGCAGACCGGGTACTTTTCGACTTCTTCATCGGTGGCGACGACATCGGCAACCGCGGAATGAGTGACGACGTGCTTCGTCGCCTGGCTTCTGTTAACAATTGTCGTAGTTTTTTGATCTCATCTTCGCGCTCATGCAGCAGTTTTTGCTGTGTCTCTTGCTGCGATGAAGAAATGCGCGTCTTGGCGTTTTGCTGTCGAAGCGAGCGTTGAGCAGCTTCCCGTTGATCTGCCTCATGTTGTTTAGTCTCTCGCTCAGCCTTAAGCTGATTACTTACATCTTCCACAAGTCGTTTCAGGGATTCGTTTTGAGTTTTCAGGCTCTCGTTTTGCGTCTCCCATGCCCTAAGCCGGTTCTGCAGCATAGCAGACTGTTTCTCCGACAGATTCTTTTGGTCGCGTTTCTGAAGGAGAGGAGGCATCGGAACCATGACGTGAGAACAAATGCCTCCTCGAATTTAAAGCAGACCGACAGCGACTTACCAGAGCAACAACAGACTGTTGTGATTGCATATACTTCCTCTTCGAGATTTGCATCTGCTGTTTTAACGACTGGAGCTCTGCAAATGCCTTCTTGGCTGACAGAATATCCTTCTTGTTCTTCACAATCTGATTTCTGCCCACCACAATATTGCGCACGCGTTCTGCGAGCTGCAGCGACCGAAATGTCTCGCTAGCATTCTCAATGGTCGGACCGACGTTAACAATCATCACTGTCTTGCACGATGAGTTTAATACATCCTGCAGCAAATGCGTCAGCTTCGAGTTGCGGTACGGAATGTGAGCCATCTTCTTATCCAAAGCCTCCATGACATCAGCTAAGGCTGACAAAGACTTGTTAATATGGGCAGCCTCCCCGGAGCATATCTCCGCTCACATTGCTTTTCTTGACTCGCTCCGAGCCGGCTAGATCCACAAGATACAGCTTTCCACATGCTTCATCTTCGACATCCAAGTCAGCGAAGTCTTTATCAGCATCATCATGTTCCAGCCGCCGCTTCGAGATTTGCACAATTACAATACTGTGCGATCGACTACTGTGCATATTTGAATTTGTTTTACCTGTGACACGGTTCGTTTGCGCAATCCGTAATACATCTATTGTTTGCTGAGGAGAAGAGACAGTCGACATAGTCAGATCAGGAACACATATATCTCCAGTTGCCGAATCGTGACAAATTTCCAGTGCCTTGTTTGTCGTGTTAATCAAGTCACGCACTGAGTCATTGTAGATTTCCAACACGCCCACTTGAACGTGATAGACTGATGATTCGGCTGCATTGTGCAAACCGTTCATCTCATCGTCTTGATTCTCAGAAGTGTCAGAATTGGGAGCATAAATCGCCCCACGTAACTGGATTGACTGAAAAACGTGACTAATGACCTTATAGTTTAGACCAGGATCACTAAGCGTACCTTCCATAGTATACGTTTTACCCGAGCCAGTTTGCCCGTACGCAAAAAATGCATGCCTTGAACCCGTCGACAACTGACTGCGCAATCGGCTCCACTTCACGGAAAACATCATTTTGTGTCTCTTCAGGACCCAGAATTCGATCAAACGTAAACACTTTCCATGAGCTGTTGTTTGCTAAGGTTTCCATGTTTTCGTTGCTGGTTGTCTTCCCATTTGAGTCGCTAGGCATCAAACGATCAGACCGAAAATCCATGGCAGCCAAATCTGACTGATTTACGACGTTGACTGCCAACTTCGAACCCCAAGATCTCTCCAGCTCTTCATTAATGATCGGCCGTACACGACAGAACACTTGGATGTTACCACATACAGTCTGCAGACGTGAAAGTAGCGAAGCATTGCGGGTTCGTTCCGCAAGATACTTTCGCGCAAGCTGCTCGGGCGTAAAGTTTACTTGCAGCACGTCAGCTGATACCCGCTTCGCAGGAACCATACTCGCAGGCATTCCCCTCTTGACTTCTTAGTCGCGCATTCTCTGCGGATAAAGAATTTAAAGACACGCGCATCGTTTGAATTTCTACCATCAGTCGTCTTGATTCGGTCACATCCGAGACAGATGCCGCACCAGAAACGGTTGACGCACGCTTTAACTCCGATATCTTCTTATTTGCGTCATCAAGCTGTTTCTGAAGATCTGAAATCAGGCTTTTCAGTTCTTCTACTTCCCTGCGATTCTGCGATAATTCACCCTTATCAAACTGCAACTTTCTCTCGAGCTCGTTCCGCTCTTGCTTGCTTTCCTCCAGGCTTCTTGTATAAGTCGCTATCTGTTCCTTTAACTCATCTACAGTTTCGCTTTCTTGTGCAAGACGAGATTTTAGTTGGCGTTCACTCTCAGCCAGGTCATCATACTGCAACTTGACGGTGTCCAGCTCTTCCTTAATACTGTTGATTTCCTTGTCCTTACTTTCTAGCTCAGTCCGCATGTTTTCACGCTCATCTGCAAACTCAATGCCCCCATCATTGAGCGTCGCCATTTCAGATTGAAGCTTCAACAACGACTCCCGCAACGCTTCAATTTGTTCGTCGCGACCACGCATTTCTTGAGACTTTGCAATCAATTCGTCTGTCATGTCCGTCATTTCCGCCTCCATGGCTTCCATATGGGCAAGACTTTCATGAAGTTGCTGCACCTGAGCTTCAACCGCAATGCGAGTTTCCGTCTCATCCTGCAAACTAGACGATAGAGCCTCAATCTCCTCTTTCAGCGACTCAATCAGTGCTTCACGACTGATTTCATCACGTTCATGCACCGTTGTATGCCGCACTGACTTTTCGTTGTAGCTCGAGTCGTATCCATCGTCATCATCTTCCGACTGACTACGCGTCGTGGCCATGCTATCGTTTCCTGAAAACGATCCACGGGATTCTGACGCCGTCGTAGTATCCTCATATTTTTGCTGAAGAGCAAATAACTCCGACTTGAGGTCCATTATCTCCGTTCGGAAGCGCTCCGTGGCCATTTCGTGCTCGTGTTCTAGCTCTTCTTTATCACTTAGTAAAAACACCTTTTCTTCCAATTCTCGCTCCATTTTGTGTCTCAGATCCGACTCAGTAGCCTGAAGCACACGCACTTGCGTTTCCAAGTCATCAGCCTGTTGCTCTAACTTGCGTCGAGCTTGTATAGCCGTCTGAAGCTCAATACGTGTTGCTTGTAATTCTGCTTCATATTTGTGTGTTTGGTCCAACGCTTCCTCCAATTTACTGCGTGCAAGGTGTAAATCCCGTTCTAAATACTGATTTTTATTCATCAAATGAATATTTCGTTTCTCCATGCGTGAAAGCTCTTGCTCTAGTTCCTGTTCTAGTTCATGACTGGACTGTGTATATTGATCAAATTCATCCTGCATATGTTTCAGTTCTTGTGATTTCTTACGTATTTCTTCACGAAGTAACAAGACATTATTATCTTCATCTTCTAATCTACTTTCCATTGACTAAAATTGTAAGAAATGACTACAGAGGAAGTATATTTAGAAATAAGATTGCGTCTCCTTAGAAACAAAGATAATAACGAGAAAAAGCGTTTTCTACCTGAATAAAATCACTGGAGAAAATGAATGAACCGGGGAACAAACCAAGGTTTTTTCTTCTTCTTCTCCGCTTCTGAACTGTGGTTTCATGTTACTTCAAACAGCTACTTTTATAACAATTGGTTAGTTAAGCTCGAACTCAGATCGTGAGGTTTTCATTGGTTACATTATAAGCGATCTAACCCACTACTTAACTAACATATCTTTGATATCTATAATGTATGTCTGGACCCTCGTGCATTTCGAGACTAGCATTAAAGCCAATAAGTTGTTCACATAGTAGAAGAAATGCGTACTACTATGATACTAACTGTGCTACTAGACATTATTGTAATGGTAATAGCTCATCCGTATGAAGGTTGGGCACCGCATCGTTACTGCAATTCCTTAGACAACATTGAGACAACACGCATCCCACCACTTACGTCCAAGCAGGCAAAAGTCGTAGAGTCTTTGGAACAAGTTCAGATTATTGCACGACATGGAGCACGAGTTCCCTATGCGAGACTCTTTTGTTGGGATTCACGCAAGCATAATCCAATGAATGCCGAATGGGACTGCACTACCCTTTCTGTTTCGGTAGGCGGGTGTCTCAAAATCGGCTTTGACTTTACGATATAGAACTCATTGTGAACGATGCTGACAATTTGTATGGCCTTTTCTTTCACAGTCACAGGACCTTAATGTTTCAGAACAATCAAAGGGATTTGGTCGCTTGTACCGCAAGCAATACATTGATGGACATAATATTCTCAAGGGAGACTGCATTGTTGGTGGACTGCTCGAATTGGGGCGTCAGCAACACAAGAAAAATGGAGAGTTCGTAACTAATTGTATGAGGTACACGATTGTTGGATTGCAATCACTTACAACCATACTGTAGGTTTTTGCGTGACGCGTACGTGGGTGACGGCTCACTAAAGCTATTCCCCACTGCCAACTTGTTGGTATGTTGACCAGATATACTGCTGTATACGATCATCATGAATGCAGTTCCTCTTACTAACCTTACCTCTGTTCAATGCATTATACGTGGCAACAAGGACCTCAATCTGTCGGATATCTATCTCCGAAGTGATGACCAAGAGAGAACGCTAGGATCAGGTCAAGCGCTGATTGACGGACTCTTTCCGGTTGACAGTGCCCCACCACTTGAGCTTCACCGCATGCTATCATGGAATGTTGCAGACATTTCGGTTGACTACATCAGTCCAAACGATAATATTTGCCCAATCATGTCACACATTAAACAGGCCTCCAACGAGAGTCCTGCGTTTCGGAATCACCTTGAAAACCCTGCTACTGTCGATATCGAGCATCATTTTAATGATATTGTCGGTGGTTTCTCCTGGAACACAGTACTAGAGTGCCTAAGTACGGCGCGCTGCAATAACCTCGAGCTACCAGATGGAGTGGATGAAGAGACGTTTATCAAGACTTACCACGAAGTTGAAGTGCGCGAAGGTATATTTCTGACCTACAATGATTCGTGGTACGCAAAAATTGCGATGCAACCGCTAGTCCACGACATGGTCACTCGGCTCAATGGCGTATTGAACGGTGACCCGGACGCGTACAAGCTTTCTATAACGATGGGTAATCATGTGCTTATGTTAGGTTATAGTGTCTTCTGTTTATTGTGATTAAAGTGCTCTTGTGTGTCTTACAGCTCATGATTCAACTATCATGCCATTCCTGGCTGCAACCGTGAAGGAGAACTGGGACCGCATGTGGACTCCATACGCAGGCATGCTGGTGCTTGAGGTTTACAAGACTAAGAGTGGATCGCATGCAGCTCGAATGATTTTCCATGGAGATCCTCTACTGTTACCTGATTGCCGTGACAGTACGTACTCGAAGTACAATATCGATTTTGTGTCTTTGTTGAGATTCTGTTTGGAGCTTGTGCTCACTTTGTCAATTTTATGGTTTTTGCCGCTGCAGCTCTGTGTGACATTGAAGAGCTCTCCAAGGCATTTGCATTTGCGCACAATCCGCGCACTGAGCACGATTGCAAGCTGCCCGATATGGAAAACAAAAGCAAAACGCCATCGTCAAGTTTAAGTACGATGGCCGATGACCAGGACCATTTCCGTGCGTCCGACTACATTGGAAGTTACTTACTGTTAGGCCTAGTGGCTATTGCTGGATTGCTTGTATTGCGTCAGCGTAATCGACAAGAGGAAGTGCGTAGTGCTGATGAAGGTATTTCTCTCCTGTCTTAAAAATGGGCCATACAAAGTAGCAGTTTAAACTACTTTTTAACCTTGTTGAAAGCAAAATAACACGCACTTTACATGAGTTGTGAAAAGTATTCGCAGCTTATATTTTGCAATAACGTCAAATTTACCATACAAGGTGGTACCAAGTTTAACATCTCAAAGAAAGTGGTTGACATGTTGGCAACGCGAGTCCTTCGCCGCCGTTGCCCTTGCGTATATGATGCATCAACACTGCATAGTACTTTATATTCTGCATTTAGAGTAGATAGATGCAATCTTCAGTTGAAGAAACGTTTTCTGACTAATGGTATGGACGCTTTTATGGAATTTGAGCGAGAGATGGCAAGGAAGCGCCAACAAAAGATGAACGCAAGTGTATACGACGATCTTGTGCGTATGTATTACTGGTAGACAATGCTACTGGTCTTCCATTGAGTTCTTGTGTCTGTATTTCTTCTATATTGCACGCTTAGCCAAAAACAATTGCGCCGGGAGGTCGTCTGACACCTCCAGTGAAGCCGGATGACGACGAGTGCTGCCATTTAGACTGTCCTAATTGCGTACTCGTGGTCTATCAGGTTTGTTGGTTTGTTGTTCAGTAGGTGAAAAAGCAAGCGTCTTGAATGTAGCCAACTGATGGGTGGTTGTAGGAACAATTGCTAGAATACGAGCTGAGTTTGCAGAGCCTGAATAGAAGACAAAAGCCGACGACTCCTTCGCCTGTCTACGACTTGTCATTTTACTCGAGCAAAGACGATGAAAAAGAATCAAGCATAAGACAAATGCTTCAGATGGAAATGAATCGTGCAGTGTATGAGGTCGCAAGCAACGATGTGATCACTGCACCACACCAGACGGCGGACGGAGCGTGGCGGTCGGTGCGTCATATTGACCTCCGCATTCGTGACGACCAACAGGAACAAGTTGGTGAACAAGTATCTAATATTGGTGTATACGTTCCAAACGATCTGCCAGTGATAGAGCGCATGCTCGTTCATTTGCATGTACAAGACCCAGGCGCACTTTACACTGCTAAGCTGATTGTCGATCCCGAGCAGCAATCATCGCACCAGCATCAATCGCTCCACGAGCGTCCGTTTGCTCATGTTGGAACTGTTCGTGATGCCCTCACATGGAACTTTGACCTCATTTCAGCTCCACGTCCCAGATTTCTACGGATTCTTGCTGCATATGCGTCCGACGACAACGACGTTGCTGCATTAATGGCACCGCAAACAGCAGAAGCTATTCAATCCGAACGGTATGCGAGTTTTGAAACTGAAAGATGTCCTAACGCTTGCTCACTATGTACACACGCAGACCGCACCAACACGTTACCATGGCAGACATTTTCGATCGCTTCCCGTCGGTTCGACTAAGCTTCGCAGATTTTTTTCAGATTGTGCCGCCAAATTCTCCACGGTATTACACCATCTCTTCGTCACGAAAGTTCATTCCCAATGTAGTCTCGATCACGCTTGGTCTTCGTAAGAAGGACGTACTACCGATGCCGCGATGTTCCAGCTACCTTGCGATGCTAAAGCCGGGCGAAGCCATACGCGCATCGTTCTACCAGTCATCTCTGGTGTTTCCATTCCACGACCACCGTCCTCTCATGCTTATCAGTGCAGGCACCGGAATTGCGCCATTCCGAGCGTTTTTACAGGATCTCGAGCATGAAGACGAGACATTGCCGCACCGACACCGACCAACCTATCTCTTTTATGGTTGCCGTGCAGCAAGCGTAGATTTCTTGTATGGTGAAGAGTTGCAACGTGCGCAGGAGTCCGGTGTGCTAGACCAATTGCACGTAACGTTTTCTGATGACAGCGACCAACCAAAGCGGGTACGTATTGTGTTGTTCGTTGTCTTTGCAGATGTGGACGCTGCTTGATACATTGCATTGTTTTGATAGTATGTCCAGGATGCATTGATCGAACATAGCGAGCTCGTGGCACGGCATCTGCTTGTAGACGAAGGCTACACCTACGTGTGTGGTAGTTTGGCCATGGGCCGTGCCGTGAAGAAAGCCATTGCTGGGGCTATCCTGCGGCACACTGAGTATTCTGGCGGAAAAATTGCGACGCAAGAAGACGCTGAGCGCGTTGTGACGCAGAAGCTAGCGGGGCATTTAATTATTGCAGAGCTCTGGTAGTCGCGAAGGTTGACCGTTCGATCGGTCGTTATTCTTGTCTGGAGACTAGCGATCTGGTCGGCCTCTTCTTTGCAGGTGAAGTTGATGAAGCCAGCGTCTGTCTCACGTGAGATATTCGCACAAGGCCACCTCGACCACAAGTCATAATAGATAGCATGTTTTTTGCTCAGAATCGTCACCCACTGGTCGGTCCTTGTCATCATCCTTTCCTTCCCGGCAACTCTTTATATGATCCAAACGACGACATTGAAGGCGCGTACGCTCGCTTTGCTGCTAATTGAAAATTTCTTTTGCAAACGCATTTCTCTGATACGGTCGGTGGATCCGTCTCACGAAAAGTCAGTCATTTTAGACGTGGTTAGGTGTATAAGCTTTTTTTGAAAGAAAATAAACTTATTCTTTTATCTAATTGTTGCTATTTTGTGCTGCTTAAGTTATAACTGTTATGTTGTGAAGATAGTATCTCTGTATGATGGTGACACATTCTAGTAGTCTAGGTTTGATTGCCTAGAATCAAGTCAATTTTTTTGCTAGCCACGTCATTCACGTGCGTAAAAGAAACCTCTTGTATTTTTCCTACCATAATCTTGCCGATCCTGCGTAATCAGTTTCTACAACAACATACACGATAAATCCAATCCAAAACTTTTCTCGACTCAGTTATCCGTCGAAAGTTTAGAATGAGGAATGGTACCGTGGAAAAGTAACGTCTTGACCTTTCTTTAATGAATAGAAGGGTACAGCTCTTCCCACACCGTATACTGTACAATTATAATTAGATTCTTACATAAAGGTAGCATTTAATATCACCAACAAAGTATACCAAATTAGATAATAAGCCCATTTATTAAAATGCGAATCTTATAATGTTACCTCACACGACCGTCGCGTCATAAAACCTTCAATTCTCTGGTTAGCAAATCCCATTTCATTGTCATCTCGTGGTTTAAAGTGAACATGCCACACACGTGGCACGTGTGTCCCGACGACGTCAGGTCCCGGTTGATTACAATTTTTGCCGTGTAGCGACTCGGCGGACAGAACCTTAAGCGCATGATTTTGATTGGCCAACTTTTCGGCATAACATGCGTTCGCACTCGCGTAAAACAGAATCTGCGCATGTCTTTTCTCATCACATAAATCATGCGTTTCGTAAACATTATTAAAAAATAAATACAACTGCTTTTTTTCTCAGCTGGACTTTACTTCTCCTTAGCCACATGTAGAGTCATAGTAATAAATAGTGGTTGGCAACGCACGAAACGAACAAAACGTATTCGTTCCACAAACACCCACCCACTTTGTATATAAGAATGATCTTTATCGAAGCCTTCACGATTTGATATCGTTTCAATTAGATAAATTTGGGCAACATTAGAAAAAAGAGAAGTCGATAAAATAGGGTGAAAGGATTGTTCGGATTCGACCCCTTCCCCTCTTGAGCAGGGCGCTGGACGCGTCGTCACGAGTAACAGAAGGCAGCTGAGGTAGGCGCTACTTGTGGGTTTCGTTGACAGATCATTCTCCAAGTTACAGCGACCAAGAATGATTACTGTCATGTCTATAAGTAGCACTCCAAGCGATGCCCAATGCAGGACTACGTCTAAGAAAAAACAGCTTCACAAACGTCTGCGCGCTTGTCTTCCGCACTTTCACACGACAGAGACGGAAACAAGTGGACATGAAGTGCAAGAAATGGAGTTTGCCGTGAAGACACCGTCCTCACCTACAAGTATGTCGACGCCCAGTCGCCGTCTAGACATCGATAGTACGAACCGTTCCTGGTCTGTCAAAGAGGATGTGCCCTTCTTTTCGATCAAGGCCAGCCAATGTACAGCGCAAACGCCGCCAACATAGCTCGTCTCCATGCGCGTCTCTTTATTCTGCGTCCTCTTCATCCTCAACGTCGTCTACGTTCTCAGTAGCCAAAAAGGGTGTCACATACGGTCAAAACGGTACACTAATGTCCTGCCGCTTTTGCAACATTTTAGAGTCTGGCGACGAGGTTTTTCTATACGAGGACGAAGATGTAGTCGTCTTTCGACCCCTGGCCCCCGTGGTGTCAAGCCACATCCTAGTGGTACCGCGTCGTCACATTCGTAACGTGAACAAACTGACATTGGAGGATACGACGCTGCTACATCGTATGCGCGAGGTCGCTACAATGGTGCTTCGGGAAATGCCACGCCCTTCAGTGATGCCAGATCTTTTGAAGGCGGAGCGAGTTGATGATGCTGCAGAAGATTGCACCGACGAGGAAGGTGCTGAATCGGATTACAAGTTTGCGTTCCACTCACCACCATTCAACAGCATTGACCATGTCCACATGCACGCGTTCCGCACGCGCGACGGACGTTTTGGCTGTGTCGGATCTATCAAGTACCGCACTGAAACTTGGTGGTGCCGCTCATTCGACGAGGTCATGACCCGTCTGGGTCTTAGAAACTGCAAGCAGCGTAATAACGAGGAAAGAGTGGAGTCGATCACGCAAAAGAAAGAGCACAGACGAAGGCATCACGTCAGCCACCCACTCCGTGATAGTACCAACGAATCGATGATATTGACGGCGGTCGAGAGTCTAGGCTAAGTAAAGAGTGAGTACGAGTATTTAACAAGATGGAGAACACCATCAATAATCAGCATATTTGGACCGAACGAAGGTCTGCATCTAATTGCTATTTGTAAAAGTCAAGATGCTGTCGGTTCAGAGAGCTCACATCTTTGAGCACTACCTACTTGTGTTACGCACGTTAGCGCCCTCTGTTATCTAGAAGACCTTCCTGCTCACCAGCTGCCTTGTTTAACTTCGCAGCATGCCATGCCCTTTTAATAGACTTAAAAATGAAGATACAATTGATGGGTTATGTTACTGTGTTCAGCAGGACTGTAGTGTAGTGCTTCTTGTTCATGAATGCTCCCAAGGTCTTTACCGCCCCAGCATAAACAGCATTTACATCCTCAATGCTACCTTGTTCAACAGCAGCTTCCAGCAACATTGAAAAGCACGGAACTGGTAGCACGTAGTTATCATGATGATCTTCTACAGCCTGATGATAACCCCGAAGCGCAGAGAGCTTCATGCATTTCCAATCATCGCTATTGTTCACGCTCACGCCCATACCTCCGCACATCACTGGTATCACCAAGCGCAGAATAGCCTTACTAGGTGGTATACTACGCCTAATCATGTCGTTCCACACCAGCATAAAGTCATCGGCTGTGTACAGCTTGCCATCATTACCAGTGGTCTTGGTCGTGGTGCTAAACATATTTTCGTATTCGCTTGATCGAATCGGTATTTCATTCGACTCAAGATGATCTAGCGCATCCACAACCATGCCAAGCTCTTTCGAATCCAAAAAGATTCGCAGCGCGTTGCGCACTGCACGTCCTGGATCAAAACGAAACGCACCGGAATTCTTTAGCACTCGCATATAATCGTTTTGATGCCTTGCACTAGTTGTTATATCCTTCAACGCTCCTGCAATTTGCTCAGACACCTGCATCAGCAACACGAATGCAGCACATTGATGCCATTAACACACGGCTCATAGCGAGAGGCAAAAGCTCGACTAGTTGCAAATACATGATAACATTTAAATGTAGTGCATGACATGTTTGAAGTCTATCGATATTAACATAACGAGCTGTCGATGACTGTCGAGTCACAGCCACGGAGCTCATTGTCAGTCGCCGCCACATGACAGCTTGGAAGAATTTCATCACAAATTTCATCTACAGTCATCAGCAGATTGAAAGTGGTGTATCCATCTATTCACTTAGCAGTAAGTTCATATTGCATAAAGCAAGAGACTAACTACTCGTTCATTGACTGCTTATTCTCCTTGCGCTGCATCGTTGTAGCACTCATACTCGTGGCAATCTCGTCCATGACCTCCTTTCCCAATAGTGTCGTCATCTGATCACGCAGTACAAGCGCCTGTTTCCAAAGCCCACCCTTTTCGCACGCCTTAAGAGCAACAGTGTACATGGTTCTCACCTTTCGGAACGCGTGCGAATCGCCGCGCTGGCGACGAACATAGGCTTCTTCCAGGTTGCCTGATCCATCTGCAGCAGGAGCCACTTCCTTTAGGTTACCCCTCTCGAAAATTCGAATGATATCCAGCGCCTTCTCTGCAAGATCCTTCTGTCGGGCCAAATGCACCAACTCGTAGGCGTCAGACAACCTTATAATAAACTCCCGTTCTTCCATAAGCGCCACCATACTGTCAACGACATCCAGTTTCTGGGCTTCTAAAGCTCCTCTCAGCACTGAGACTACAGCTCGAAGCGTGAAGCTACCACACATTTCAAGCATCTGCTTCGTCAGCTGCTCGGCCTCTTCCACGTTGCCTTCCTCGGCAAGCTTTTCAATTAGGATTGTCATCCAACTGCGTGGCACACCAAACGCTTCCTTTTTGTCTAAGAAGCTCACAGCTTCATCATACAGCTGCCTTACATCTGACACAGTACCCTCCTTTGCTGTAAATGCTAGAAGCGTTTCGTAACACATATGCGGCAAGATGTAGCAATCGTTAGGGTCACTCTGAGCCTCAGTAAAAGCCTCTAGCAGCTCCAACCGCTGCTGCTTTTTTTTGCTTCCCTATAAGCAGGACACAAATAGCCCACAATCGCCCTGTTTGCTTTCAAACCACGGTTCTTCAGGTCCCCCAACACTATCTGGAAACTGGAGATATCGTACACCACTTTTGGATTCGTGATATCCTTATTTGAGTTTTGCAAGAACTTCCGCATCGAGCTAAGAATCGCGACGTAAGTAGATTGTACAGCATGCACTCCCCGACTTTCCATCATGTTTAAGGTATCCAGAGCATCAGCCATCCTGCCATCTTCCGCCAGCGTCTGCATGACCAAGTCAACGACCTTGCCGATGTTATAAGTCACATAACGGGGCTTTCTAGCATCTTCGTCCCCAGCAAGCATGTCCGCATTCCTGCCATCCTTGCCCCAATACGAAGCTAGCACCTGGTTGAATAGCTCTAGAGCGGCATCAGAATCGTGAAAGCGACGGAAAAGCACCAGCGCGTCATGCACGCGGTAAATTCGAATGCCTTGAAAAAGCATTGCCTTGCTGGCAGCATAGCTAAGCTCATCAGCCGTCTTCGTTCTATCCTTCGTGTAGTGCGTAAAAACTTCACCCAAAGCGTGCGCATACTTGCCATGCACCAAGGAAAAACCCTTGACCACACCAGCTACCTTGTCATATTGCTCCGTCTTGATATACGCTTGCACGACGTCTTTCGCCACACTTGAGCTCACAATCAATGCTCCTTTAGGAATTTCGCCTTCAAAGTCTTCGGGCAGTTGCGACTCATCAACAGATTTTACAATAGAGTCTACATACGCAGCTGCCTCACTATACTTTCCCTGTGCAAGCAATTCGCGAATGCGCGGGCTTATGGTATAGCCGGCAGCTCTGCTCTTGTTAGGACTGGCAACAAAATTTGTATCCTGAAGGAACTGAGCGTTGCGCTCAATAATCTGGTGCGTTTTGGTGTCGAACTGAATATTTTTTTTGACCATCTCCTCCAGAATATCCTTAATCTCGTCGTTCCGCTCCAGAAATTCCAGTGTCATCATGATACGGTTGTAACCACGTGCATCAAGACGCAAATCAAACTTTTTGCGGTTCGCCAAAATATCCGAAGCCTGTTGCTTGCAATCGTTGTTAATGCAAACACTAAGCAGAGCAATTAACGTACCACCGTTCAGCTTCATACTTGAGTTGCTATAGAATTCGAAGGACTTTGCCGGCTGTTTGATGATGCCCATGCTGAGGATGACGCGATCAATACACGATTCGTGCCAATAGCCGATCTGGGGGGTCCACAGACTCATAGAGCTCTTGCACCTTCTCTACGTCACCATGGCGTGCATACGCCATCATGAGTCGTGACGTGATTTCGTTCGTCGTCTCATGGCCAGCATCTGCCATTTCTTGCCAAATCTTAAGGGCTGACTCCATGTCGTTGTTCTGCAAATACCCTACAATACCAAAGCGGTAGATCATTTCAGGCACCGCCTTGAAATGCGGCTTGGATGTCTCATAAATCTCGATGAGGCGCTTGGGGTTATTCTTGCGGGCGATAATGCGGAACACTTCACCATATACGGCAAAGTTGATGTGTGACGGAAACTTGGTCTCGAGAAAGTTGAAAGCGTTCAGCATGACGGATACCGCACGTGTCTTCTGAGCTGCAGTGAACAGATCGATAATCTCTTCACTCGTCACATCCTCGCGAGCAATGGCGTCGGCCAGCTTTAACTCAAGTGCTTTCGCTACGCTTCCAGTCCTCGATTTGCCTAATTTCTCGCACACGTCGCGGGCCGAACAAGTAAGCAGTAAGTCACGATCGACGCCGGCGATACTCGTAAAGTACCAGTTGACGCTGCCCAGGTGCTGTGGCACGCTGGCAACAGGCGTTCGAGCAATCTTGCATCTCAGCTGGTGGAATGCTACAGCTCGACATGCGCGCCACATGGTTCAATTGTATTGGCGAGCGATAACAGACGCAAACTATTGGAATCGCCTTAAGCTTTAATGTGCTCTCCGGTGGTGGTCAGTGAGTGAGTGGTCTGTATTTTCATTCGGTAAATCCAGTGAGCTCGAATTTGTGTATACCACAAGACCTCCAGGTGTAAAGGTTATGTGGTTTACATGAACTAGATAGGCTAGTATGGAAAAGCTAACATTGCATCAATCATGCAACTTTGTGCAAAGTGTCGGTTATTGTGGCCAATTACTCTATGACTTTTTCCGCTTCTTACATGTCTGACTGTCGAGGTCAATGAATTTCTATTTGCACAGCCAAACGAAGCTTAACGGGCTCTGGTGCATGATTTATATATATGTAAATTTCTTAGGAATCTACTGAGTACATACGCAGATGCGAAGGAATCATCCAGGTAAATAGAAACAGGAGTGGAATGAAAGCAAAAAGGTTCGCATACACGTTACATCGCCGCACTCACGCTATTAGCCTACTATTACTCTGTCAAAATTCACAGTAGGTAAACGTATCTGTTCTACCTCGCCAGTCTCATCGTTAGCACAGACAGCCCTACGCACTCTTGGTACTACTGGGTGCGGCACGTCCTTGTATTGTGTTCTTGCTGTTATCTAAGCCCGCTCGTTTTTCTTCTCATCACACTGCTCTTGTCGGCAGCAGCATGTTTGCAGCGCAGAGCAATGGCTGCTTTTATCAATCAGCGGCTCCTCCACACAACGTTGGCACTTTCTTCTTGTCCCTTCTACACTTGGATAGAAAAAGACGACCTTGACCAAGACTTTACGCACTTGAGTCGGAAACGCTGGTGATCTCGTCGGTGTGATGCGCGCCACCACGCAGCTTCTGTTCGGCCACATCACGCACCGGCTGAAAGTACGCGTGCTGCATGGCCTCCTTTGCTGTTAGTCGTTCTTGGTGGTCATAACGCAGCAGTCCATCCAGAAAATCAATGGCTTCGGCAGACACCAAATGTTTGTTGTCTTGTGTGACAAACTTTTCCCACGGCTTTTTCGTATGCGTGCCTAAAATACCATCGTACTGCGGGTCGAGCTCCAGATCGTACGTCGTGAGGTAATCGAATAGCTCATCTGTACCCCTTACCTTGGCGATCTTCACCAACTGGTCGCAATTGTCATGGCCATGAAAAAATGGCTCTTTTCGAAAGATCATTGCCGCAAACATACACCCAAGACTCCACATGTCTAATGAGTAATCATACTCCTGCATATCCACTAATAGCTCTGGTCCCTTAAAATATCGACTAGCAACACGCACGTTGTATTCACGACCTGGGTGGTAGAATTCGGCGAGACCCCAATCAATCAGACGCAATTGGCGTTTCTCGTGATCAATCATGACATTGTGCGGCTTAACATCACGATGCATGATGCCATTCGAATGGCAATAGTCCAAGGCCTTCAGCAACTCGAACAAGTAATAGCGAATGTCGAAATCACTTAGTGTCGGGTAGAGTGTCTTGAAGTCTGTGTTATTCACATACTCGGTCACCAAGCTTGGGGTCTTGGACTGTGGGTCTCGCACTACATCCAGCAGCTGAATAATGTTTACGCCACCCGACAGGTTTTGCAATATCTTGATTTCACTTCAAAACGTTTACAATAAGCATTACAAAAATACACAAGAAAGCGTAAGTTGTTTTCTCTTCATCCCCAGCTAACTACAGCTTAACATGCCTACCGTTTGATTTTTTTCTTCTTCACCGGTTTGAGGATCTTAATGACGCAGCGAGAGTTACTGGCTACATTGTAGCCCTCAAATACTTCACTATACTTGCCTCGACCGATCTTACGGATCACCTCGTAGTTGTCTTGGTCCCTGTGTATTCACAACAATGTCGTCTGTAAGTCTTTTTTTTACAACAAGAGAGTGACAACTTGTATATAATTGGATGATACATATATATATCTCGCTTCATGCATGAGATTAAACTCTTCACCCCCCCTCCTCTTTCTCGATCAAAAGATTTTAATAGGGGGCAGCAGAGAATAAAATCAGGTCGAAGGAGAAAAAGAAAGGAAAAACGTACCCCCAAGCTACATTAAGTGTCTCGTAGTCCCAGTACTCGCGCGGGCGCGTCTCATTCACGTCGCAATACACACGCGCACGACTCATAGCCACCTCCTCCTCGGTTTGCTGCCTTCTTTTTTAACCTGTGGCTTGTTTTTGAAAGGCCACGACGAGTTTGTAAACAGCTTACAAAGATCAGGTGAAATAGGACGACTAGGAGTTTGTAAGATCTCGTTTCCCCTTTTCTAACAACTGTTTCCTCTTAACTTGCAACAAAAAAGAATTCAAATTAAACCATTATTCAAACAATCACAGCAAAATGAACTTATATGAGTCTTAAGTATTCTTCCATAAGCTCACTTTCTAGCTTTTGTACGTCGTTTGATTCTTACAAAGCAGCTTTTTGGTAGCAAATTGTTAGTAATGGTGATGAATGTAATTGAGAACTATTGAACTTCTGAAATCCTGATCACAAACATGCGCGAATTTCTTGTTCCTCTCTGTCTACATCTTGTTGTTAAACTTACCTTGCACACTAGCAAAACTCTTACGGCATAAAAAGCAAATTTGTGGCTAAGCTTGCTATCTTAAATCATCCACAAACACTTCTGCGTAGATTTGTCAGCGGCGGTCATTCTGCAACATTCTTCCTGCCCGCGCTTTCGTCAATGACATCCGGCATCTGAGCTCATCGTGTGATTGAAGCCTTAAGCGCTTTTGTCAAAAATACATTAACGGTATAGCAGAGCTTCCGTAGCAAAGCTACTCAAGCACTAAGTGCAGAGGAAGATAAGCTCAAAATGCTTTACGTCTTGGGCTTCTTAACCCTTTCAGGGCTATCGTTACACGCTTGTGCCATTTGGTTTCAAATAGCCACGTCTCCCAAAGACCATATCTGGGATACACTTTCTTTCTTTGAAAGACTAATGCTCTAGCACGTATGATACTTAAAACAGGTTTGAAATTGATTTATTTAATGTTTATCTTCTAGCACTGAATATAGAACCACCTACTCTATACTTTGTGCATATTCCCTATATATCAAGCTCTGTAGCCACCTAATATGTAAACATAGATTTTTTCAAAATACTTGTGGTGAAGTGGGTTCTCAAAACTGCGTAATAAGATCCCCAACCTACTTACTGTGCCGGACTGCGACCGTCGGAAGGGCTGCCCCAATGCCGCGTATAGACCTTCTCTCACCTTGTGTACCCGTCGGCTGGCGGGTTGCCCTCTTCGGAGAACTTGGTTGAGATGTGGTGTCAGCCTTGATAGAGGTCGACCTTGGGGTGCCTCGAGTGGATATACTTCACTCGGTAGGCGGGTAGGTGGCCACTCGGTCGACTAGGTCGAGGTTGGACTTATAGTCAAATTTTTCAGGGGAGATTCTCAACCCTGGCCTTTTACTTCCTTGATATCTCAGGGGTGCTAATCGCCTGGCCTTTACTTGCTCCCGAACCGCTAGGGTAGGGAGACCGCTTCCGACAGCGGGCAAATTGGGAGGTGCTACTCCGACGAATCCACAGGCCAAATATACCCTGGAGTTCTATTCGCACTTCACAAATCATCCCCATATTTTGCCACATATGTTAGTTATCCTCCAAATAGTTTTACCTATTTTTCAATCTGTTCATAGTTAGATCACTCAGTTTAGGGTCTTATTTATATAACTAGTTATCAAAGCTTGTTAAATCTTTATTTCTCTATGCCTACTTTATTAAATTAAGCTTGCTATTAAAATAAACTTGCTGGCCCATTATGCAAAAGGTACACTGTTACTTTTTAAAAAGTTTCATAAAATAAAAAAAGTTGGAACAAGGGAAATTGTACAAAAAAATAGTTAGAGCTCCTACAGGACGGGTCTTACCATACAGCTGTCTTCCACATGGGCCAAAAAATATTCTCCCTTCCCGGAACAGGTGGGTAGACCTAGTAAGTACCTTGGAAGCACGACAAAGGTGTGCTATGTAGAAAAATTGAGTAGCGTTTAATATAGTCCTATCTTTTCACTTCTTTGCTCTATCTTACCCCGAGACCTGATTCTTGATTCTGCTTGGCTACAGTGAATCGACCGAAGGCCCGAGTGTCCATCGACCGAGGGGCCTAGGAGTCCGTCGACCGAAAGGCCAAGGTCTATCGGCTAATGGCCGAGGTTCAATGATGAAGGACCAAGATCGACCTTCAGGGACCGAAGGGCCAAGGTCTATCGACTAAGGACCGAGGCTCATTAATGAAGGACCAAGGTCGACCATCAGGAACCGAAGGGTCCAGAGTCCATCGACATAAGGAACGAGGTCCACTAAACAAAGGAACAAAGTAGACCTCTAGGGAACGGAGCCAAGATTCCACCGACCGAAGGGCGGAGGTCTATCTTGATGAAAGTCCGAGGTCTACCAATGATAGACCAGGGTCGAACTTGAAGGATCGGGGTCCGCCGTGAGGAACTGCGGTCCATCGGGCTAGCCGCGGTTAACTCCTTTGATGGCTGCCAACTAGCACGCTGTGACCGTGCATTCTTCTCATCCAACGGTTGTTCTCCGTCCCCTTTAGCGCCTCGTCTCTCTGTCCCTTACCCAACAACCCTTTTCCTTGGCAAGTACCTTTTCTCTTTGACCCACTGGCACTCTGACCTCTAAGTTCTTGAAACGCTTCACCACATACTTAAACTAAGTATAACGACCACGTGGCTCTCTGCCAGGATGCGGTATGGTCACATCAATTCACCAGTGCACCTAAAGTATAGCCACACCACAATGGTGTGGCAGGTGTGTATGTACAATACACACCTTTGCGTAACTCCGTTACATCCTTTTTTACGCTTAATAATCAATTGTTCGTAAATACTAAGTGCTTTGAAAGCAATTGCTAGGCAAGTAACGTTTATAAGCAAGTGTCGTGACACTAGGGTGCTTAAAAAGCGCAAGCACAACGTACAGATGCTCAAAGAGCGTGTGTCGTAACACAAAAGCTTTGGACGTAAGTGCGGCGCACATTTTTTGAGGCAAGAAAAGTGGAAAAAGAAATCGATAGGACTCCACGTTAAGCATAAATTTCGTGGGTACGCCGAACCGCACGGATTGGCGGGGGATGGTGTAACGAGGCTACACATAGCTGTGCATTGTACATACACACCTGCCACACCATTGTGGTGCGGCTGTACTTTGAATACACTGGTGAGTTGATGTGACCATGGCCAAGGTACGAAGGGTCGCATACTGGCAGAGAGCCACGTGGTCATTACATTTAGTTTAAGCATTATGAAGATATATATGTTTACATATTAGATGGCTTCAGAGCTTGATAAATAGTGAATATGCACAAAGTATAGAGTAGGGTTCTTATCTGCTAGAAGATAAACATTAAATAAAATCAATTTCGAACCTGCTTTAAGTACCATACATGCTAGAGCATTAGTCTTTCAAAGAAAGAAAGTGTATCCCAGATATGGTCTTTGGGAGATGTGGCTATTTAAAACCAAATGGCACAAACTTGTAATTGATAACCTTCAAAGGGTTAAGAAGCCCAAGGCGTAAAGCATTTTGAGCTTGTCTTCCTCTGCAGTAAGTGCTTGACCAGCTTCTGCTACGGCATAATAATCTGCATTCGCGCAAGATTTCGTGGATACTGTATCACCTTCAGGTTTTTAAACTCTATGTTACCAAAGCACCTTAAGAATGATTTTACATGCCTCATCGCAGGCATACACTGCTGAAAACAGTCCGTTTCTAAGAAATTTACAACAATGAGATGACGAGCTCATGCTCAGGTCTACGCGATAACAGCGCCAAACCAAAAGGCCATTCCTGTTTTCCCGGCTTACTTCACCTCAAAGTTATATTCTTCAACAAGGAAAGCCACCGGGCCATTGTCTGCGACAGAAGAGGTGACTGTGTTGCTGCGTGTAACGACGCATGATCTTGTGAAGAAGTAACGATTATGGAATATGCTTTCTGCGGAGTTGGGCGACCAATGGTATTGGTAAGCTTGGATTCTCCCTGGTTGGTCAATGAAGTGATCGCACGGTGTGGACCACATAATGCAATCGCGGTCATACCCAGCCGATTAAGTCGTGTAAGGACGCTAGACCGCGTGGGCGATACAGACTTCAAATCGCGAACGC